CCACACAGAAAGAGATCAATATTTTATGATGAAAATTCCTGGCTCCCAGTCCTATAGCACTGTACAGCAGCTCTTTGCAGCAGTTCACATACTGATGCTGTTTCTCATTCCCTGCCCACATGAAGGGCAGCTAAGTGTTATCTATTCCACATTTTTCAAAGATTTTAGGATTAGTTACTTGCACTTCCATTCCATGATGGGAAGACATAAAACCTCCATATTGTCCAGACAGAAAACAACTCTAGCATCACCTTACTTTTGGAAGTTCTGAGAACAAATACTCAGCAAAACCTTGTGTTGAGGTAGAACAGTTGCACAGATGAGAGTCCTCCAAACAAAATCCCAACTCTGCCACAAGCATTACAGGACATGAAGTGGTAAACCAATGTCCTGGGAATGACTGCAGAAAGGGGTCATAAGCACAATCCCCAATAGCCACAAGAACACATCCTCCACACATGAGCATTTTCCATTCTGACCTGAAGAGCTTCTTGCTCTACAGAACTGATTGACTGTCACAGCTAAAGCAGCTGTGGGTGGGGAGAGAAGAAGAGCTGACTACACACATATGTGGAAGAGGGATCTTTTAGCCAACAGATCCTTATGTATCTGTTAAATATCTCTGAGCCTTGTTCATGCTACCAAGGTCACAGCAGTGTAGCACTGTACATTCCATACTCTAAGCACAGTCAAGGATGTTTTGATCTTCAACTATCCCTAGACTAATACTTTCCTATTATTGTTTTCAGGCATTGCTTCAGTTTAAGTCACCTGCGGGTTCTGCACACGTCAGACATACCTAGGGCTCCCAAGGGAACATGCACTTTGTATCAGTAAGATCGCTCTTTTGCTGGCCAAACTCAACCCAGATCTCTAAACGGAGAAAAATGAAATATTATGAAATCTTTGTCCATCTAACTGCATTTATACCAGCACAGACAACTATTATCCCTGACTAATTTCCCATCCTGACATGAAACACTAGCAAGTGGCTAATGTCAGCCAGCCTTAAAAGGTCACCAGCTACTTGCTCAGCATTTAAAAAGATCTCAAATTTTTCGCAGAATATTGCTACGTCTTCTCCATACAGCCCAGTATTGCAGCAAATTTAGCCCTGACACAAGATTTCAGGAGCTTTTTTGTTGTTACTGCTGTTGTTTTCAAACAAAGGGTTCTCCAAGCAGAGATCATGCAACCTGAAGAAAATTATCAGCCAACACAGGGTCTTTTCAAACTCAAAACACTGTTTGCACTCACTTCTCAATCAAGTCTTTCGGCTAAATTTCCACGCCATTACAAAGGGTATTAGAATTGTGACAGTGTTTTCCTCACATTTTTTTAATTAAAAAATTATGGAAAAGTAATTTGTGCAAACAGCATGAATCAAACACAGCAATGCTTACAGTTCTCAGTCTTTTCAGCCAGTTCAAAAAGAGTCAGCAGGCTTTCCACAGAGCCATGCTACCAAAGCCTCCTCAGCATTTAGCTTCTTTTCCTGCCATGCTCTCCACCTTACCCCTCTGCTTTTCTGCTCAGAAAAATACTCACAAAAATAACCAATAAAACCTCTGCATGTTGCAAGCTGGGGCATGAAGTCATGGAGAGGAATCTGGTCATGTCAGGCAACTGTTTTCAGAAAAGGAACTGTACTCTTACATTTTTATTCAAGACCAAACTGTCTGTCTTCTATCATTGCCCACCACCCCAAATGCTCCTACAAAGCAGGTCAAGCAGGACTGCATATAAAACTGTGATCAAGAAATTTCCTTCAGCAGCACCACGGCGAGAGTGCTGCAAACAAGTCACATTTTGCAAGCCTGGGCTCCCTGTTCTTGATAAGGAGATAAACACCTACAGACCAATGGAACTGGGCCACAGAAACTAAAGTGAGAAGTTGAGCAGAGTTAGGCTGAACCCTAGGACTGGAGGGCAAGAGCTCATTAACAACGGGAACAACTTGGAAACAACTCGTTACTTCCTACCCGCCTTATTCCAAATCTCCCACGCCCAAAGAACTGATTAACTCTCATTTGGAAAAGCAAAAACCCCCGCAAGGCAGCAAATATGCGGGGGGAGGCACAAGTGAGGGAAAAAGAAAAAAAAAAAAAAGGATGGCTGGAGCCTAGTGGCCTACATGCAGCTGAGATGAAGGTAGACCTTTTAATTTTCCTTCCATGGATTTTAACAGCAGCAAGAGCCAGGGCTTACTCAATTCGGATTCCTAAAAATAGCACTTGCCTAAGTAACCACACAGGACCACATGGGGCTCTATTTTCCTTAACTAGCTTTTGATCTAATGGAATTCTTCAGTTAAGTAAAAGAAGAAATGGGGTCTTTGTGGTGAAAGCACATGATCAGGAGTTAGGAGAACTGGCTTCTCCTCCAGACTGCTACGGATTTGTTGTTTAGTCTTTCGTGCAAAACAATGTAGCTCTTAAAGTACGCTTCTACCTCAGACCAAAACCTGTGACTGCATTTAAAAGCTGAAACATCCGTGCCAGCTTTGCTCCTTCCAGCATGCCAGCCAGCCATGCAGCCAGAGCTCAATGCTCTATCCACAAGCCAGACAAGGATCCAAACAATTAGCCTGGTTGCACTCCACACCTCAGAGCTACACTGGCTGCAACAGGGCTGACATTAAGAGAAGTTCTGGTACATCTCTATGCACTGCATTTATCTTTCTGCACAGTGTTGTAGCACTGTCCTTCGCACTTCTCTTGCCTCACACAGGAATTGAAAATAAACCTTCTTATAGATGCAAGCACAGTTCATGAAGCACTGGTAAGGTGTTTGTTTAGCACCCAAAGCTGCTCAGATACCACAGCAAACCAACGCAGCTGAAGCACCCAACGCAAGGAGGCAGAGCAGCAGCTCAGCGAGGCTGGGAAACGTGAGAGCAGAGCGGAAGCGACACATGCTGGTATTTCAAACAGTCAACAAGCAGCAAGTAACCTGGTAAGACCTCTGAGACCTTGACCAGGATAGACAGGCTCTGCCCTGCCAGAACCGGCTGCTTTCCTAAGTTTGCAGGACCCTACCTGCTTCCGACACCCAGGAGAGGGCTGCAAAGGGCTCACGGTTGAGATGCTTCCTCCCACCCTATAACCTGCCAGCAGAGATTAACACTTTCCTCAAATGCTCCCTTCCACCCTTCCCAGCCACTTCATGAGCTGCTACAGCTGAGGGGTCAGGAGATGGGATTCTCCACCAGAGCAGGTTTAGGCAGAAGAGACTGGACAGCAAAAGACAAACTGACTGTAACAGCAAATTAACCCCTTCTCTGGCTGACAGGAAAGTGAGCCAAGCCTAGTACGAAAGCAGGAGACATTTCAGCAGCCACACTGCAGAGAAAGGACATAACACATCTGACAATACATTTAAACAATGCAAAACATCCTTCCCAATGCCTGCAGCAAGTCAGCCCCTATCCTGAAGATCTAACACACTTGGGCCCAGAAGCGCTTGCCAAGTTGTCAACATGGCCTTTGATATCAGAAAGCTTTGAAACCCCTGCCTTAAAGGCCAACACTTGCTTCTCCACCCTTATTTGAAATGCAAGATGCCTGAAAGCTATAGAACTATTTTAACACCGAACATGCAGGAGTCTACACCGCAGAGCGGACACGTTTGCTGGGAACTGCAGTTGGAAAACTAACAAGTCCCCTACTGCTACAATAACCGTAGCTGCGTAACGGAAGACATGCCAGGGATCGCAGGAAGCTCAAGCCTTCCAGCGCTTTCTGCAATCTCCATGGAGAGAGCAGGCCAAGGAGCACCTTGTTTAAACCCATGATAAATGCCAGGATAGCAAGGGATGTGGGACAGGGCAGAAAAATTGCCACCTTTTTCCTTAAAAAAAAAAAAAAAAAGAAAACAACAACAACAAAAAACCCCAAACAACAAACAAGAAAGCTTAAATCAAGTTTTGAACCAAACTGAGGCCTTAAGAGTGTTTGTTTTCATTTGGGGGGAGGGGAGAAGTCAGTAAAATGTTATTTCCCCACATGTCAACAGAAAACATGTGCATCCCACCCTGCAACTCAAACATTACAGCTTCGTGCTTTTTCACCTAGATATAATCCATTCTCTTATTTTACTTCTATTTCTTTTCCAGGGGTAATATCGATGTAGCTGTGATTTCCTAAAGTCAGAGGACATCCTTTTTGATCCCATGCTTTCTGAGTTTTCCCCCCTTGACTTCACAGCTGAACACCCTGTATCCACAGCCATTCTTCGGACCCAGAAGGACTCCACAGCACATGAGATGCTAAGACCACATCATGTGCCACGAGCCACTCACTCCAACCAAGATGGAACCCCAAGGCCCCAGCCCTCAAATTTACAGCCACTCTGAACTCATGATTTCACTCCATACACAGCAGAACCATCCACTGACTTCTTAAAGTGCCCTTCTCCACAGACACATACAGAACAGGGCAGCACGTGTTTCAGGAGGAGTCTGGTCTTCACACTTTGGAACAGTAATTTAGGAGCTGTAAAACAAGCACTAAGGCTGGTTTGATCCAGCCTTTTACAAGCTTTACATTTCACACTGATATTATCAGCTAGTAAATCATACACATTGCAAGCAAAAGAATTTTTTTTATGTTTTTCCTATATGCGTTCCTCACAACTGAGTGTTCCGGATACATTAATTGTTTTCTGTCAGTCATCTTTCCAATTAAGATCTGCTCCTTCCTTCCTTCCTAGTTTGCCAGTATGTTACACAAAATTTAGTTGCTGACATGTTCCAACAGGGACAAGAGGAATGATCAGTAGAGATTAAAGCATGCCATGCATCAGCCAACTTCTGAAACAACTGACAAAAGAAACCCAAAACATCTTGAAAGGAGAGATTTACAGAGATGGCAGCTCTCTTGTCATGGTTGGCCCCAAGATCATCACCATTTCTGTCAGTTGTCAAAAGTGTTTTATGGTTTCATTTAAAAGACCGGTAATTGATCCCCAAACACACACAAAAGAAGAGTCCACAAATGCTACAAATATCTACATTTTATTAATTCAAATCAAAGCAAGACCAATTACTTCTTATAGAGTCATCTTTAATGTCTACTAAACAGCACTACAGGAGCTCTATTCCAGGTTACACAGGGGCAGGATCATCGATACAAGTAACATGAAGACAAAGACAATTGTGCCCTTATGGATCACTTTCATTAACATGAACATCTAAGCTGTTCTGCAGTCCTTAGGCATTTATCAAGGACTCAGAATCAAGAGTTTTTCTGGTTATAAACACCTTGGTATAGAGTGTGCTATTTTAAGAGACCAGCACCTATCACACAACTCCAGATGAACAGTAAACAAACTATCCACTCAATCCACACAGTAGCTAGTGGTAGGTTTTGGTTTTAAATAAAGATGCTACTGATTGTACATCATCAAGAAGTCAAGTTGCAAGGCATTAACTAGCATGCTCTCATCTCATTTTCCCACCAGCAACAGGATTCTCAGATCCAAGTTTTATTGCTCAATAGCCACAGCTTCTGCCAAAAATCACAAGGGAGCCAGGGGGAGGGGATGGCAAATATGAAATGGGACAACAGCTGTCAAGGTAATTTGATAGCAGCGATGGCTTCTTGAACCAGTGGACACTCTTGAGAATGTGAGCCAAGGCCTCCAGGCATCCACAGAAAAGCCAAGTAAGATAAAGAGCTCGGTGAGAGAGCTGATACAGATGTCTGAGACAGAGGAAAGAACAAAGGCCATCTAACTTCTAAGAACTTCAGTTTTCCAAACAAAAAAAAATTTCAGAGCAAGTGTCCAAATGAACCCTCCCAGCCATGAAGACAAATCATCTTTTGTTTGAAAAATGTTTGCAAGTTTTCCCAGTACTCTTTCCAAAAACATCTCAATACTACAACATCCAAACAGAAAAGAGGAGTGAAGAATGAGCTGACAGATTAAAAGATCAAGTCAATAACCTTCTACAGATTCAAATCTAGCTCAACTTCCACTACCAAGCAGTCACCTGCATTATGAGGCTCACATAAATTAAACTTAACGACACGTCAATCCCTAATAGGCCAATGTCCACAGTCAAAAGTTTTCTTGTATCCATAACACAGAAAATATCCAAAGGAAAGACTTATCACTGGAAACCCTGAAAATTTCCATACTTTTAGTTTAGTTGCTCCACCAAATGAACCATCCCTTCAACAATGAGTCATATCCTTTGGTGGAACAGTAAGAAAACTTCTTTGCTTGTGTCTATGTGGCACCTGTTTTGGTAACATAAGAGGGATTATTGAGACACGCCAAAAACACAGGCAAGGACAAACTGCAAGCCAGGAGCGTGTTAGCTGTGACAGGAACAGCAGAGGGAGGTCAAATACTTTAATGATTATTCCCATCAGTAGATTTTACTCTTTTTAGGATAGTTTTCATTTTCTTTATTTTATGCTTTAAATTTCTCCCATGCACTGAACAAGTGGAGTTCTCTCACTTTCCCTCTCTTTACAGGGCTTCTGGATTCTGCTCAACCACCTCCAATACCCAGGCTTGTCTCAGCAATCTCACAGGAGTTTGTAATAGCTGGAAGAAAAAAGAAAAAGAGAAGCAAACAGAAATGCTCATAGCTTTGTTCTGCATTACTGTCACCTGCTACAGATGTGTGATGTACTAAGAAACACGATCACTGCCAAAAATGCATTTATGGGTACATAAATCATGTATGGGTACAGATCAATTGTTTCTTCATGCTGAAGCCAGCATTTTGACAGACACCAATGCAGCCAGTCATTTATGTTAAAAATAGCTTATTCTGATAGGGAAAATAAGAAACACATGACAACTGGCCTTCAAAATTTAGTATCAAAATTAAAATCAGACCTAGCTTAATGTTCCATTTTCTCTAATAATATTTTCAAACATCATACTCAAGCACAGCAATCACTGGCTTATTCAATTGTGACTGCAGATTTCTCCACAAGCATTGCAGCTCCCTTACCTGGCCCTGGAGGGACAGTCTACTACTATTTTTGTAAGCGCTTACTAAAATCCCCTCATTCAACACAGAAGCTTTTGCCTTAAGTGCTGGTCCTGTAGAGCAGACATGAGACCTGGGAAGAGGAGGGTGGCTTCTGCAGGCCTCCTGACCCTCACAGTGCAGATAAAGAGAATCCACAGAATGACTGCCTCGAAGCCAAACAGGTTTAACAGCCCTTCACCATCTCTGAGGCAAAAGGCAATTTGCTTGGTATGTCACAGATAAAACGTGCCTGTGTTGAGGCGAGGGTAATGAGACATCTAGCCCATGCCACTTCAAAAGGTTAACAACTCAAAGGTTGCAACACTCCCAATCTCCTCCTTACAGTCTGCAAAGGCTGCCCTGCCTAGTCCTGCCATCACTCCCTTCGGTTCCTTGTTCCAACACAAAGGGATTAAAAATTAAGGAAAAATAATTTAATCTAAAACTAGAAATCTCCTTCTATCACTTCTGGTAGCAACTTTTCCAATGAGACTTCTGAATTGACACTTTACTGAAGAATACCATTCATTCACCTTTTCATTCAGTCAGTCATGGCAAGAAGAATGAACTAGTCCCTTGTCCACCCCTTCCCTGCACAAGCCTAACCCCTGGAAGAGGGATGAGAATACAAATCATGCCTTCACTGTCCCAGTCACATCCATTTTCTGAATGGGACAAGCAGGAAAATTCTCAGCTCTTCCATACTGTTCCTATCTCCTATGTCAAAGAAAACAATGAAGAGCCAAGATGGAGCTAGACAAGTCATTATGATCACAAGGGCACAACTTTATGCTAGCAGAAGTGGTGCCCTGGATTATGAGTCAATGCCGACGTTCTGCACTAACAGACACTTTAATCAGACATCAGTCATTAACGGAAGCATCAAGAGACATAGTGATAATAGTATCATCAGGACACAGGTTCTGCGACAATTCTGTGTGTCACAGAGGCAAGTCCAGCCTAGAACCTGATGTGCACAGACATCAAAGCAGTGGCAGAACTCAGTCTTTGCCAATACACTCAAAAAACACAGGACAGACGGAGCAGCATACACACACTGCACCACCTCAGAGCAGGGTTAGACTGTCACACAGACAAACCTTGCAAACCCCCTTAACTGTTGACAAATAGAAGGCTGGTAGGCTGAGCTATCCCCATATCACATCACCACATATGGAATAAGGGAAAGAGCCCAACCAAGTCAATCTTTTCATCCGAAATGAATGGGATTCACCGATAGTGAAAACAGACTTGATTTGTGTTGCTGCATTTCTCTTAGCCAGTTTGCTTAAGGCTCCTTGGAATGGATTGCAATGAAGAACACTGAAGTGTTACCCTCTGGTGTACATGACCTGTCCGTGGTGTAAGAGCAACCTTCCAGTGGCACCAGGAATAAGAGCTCAGGACTTTCTGGCTCATGGGGGAGCCAAGGTATTTAATTATACTTTGGTTACCACCTTGTCACTGACATGAAAAAAGGACAGCTACCCGAATATCCCTTGAGACTGGGAATTTAGGCACTAACAGCTATGCCACTAAAGACTTGCTTACTAGATTTTCAGCCCAGAAAAACAGAAAAATATTTAGTATGTAATTAATCCTAAACTGGACATTACCTTAAAACCATTTGAAAACAAATGACAAGCAGCACAGGATAAAAGGGTAAATGGCACCTCTGACACCATAAGGAAAAAACAACAGATTAAAACCCTCTGTATCAGCAAGAGGTTAGAAAGCACCCAACAATAAACTTTATAGCAGCAATTTTAGTAGCCATAAAGCTTCACAAAACAGAGCATTAACCATGTACCATTCACCTCAGCTGTGTCTCCACACACTTGCCTAGTGGAATGGCCTCGTCTTATCTGTTGCCACTGTCTCCTAGACTCTCTCTGGTTTTCCCCACCTTCTGCCAACAAACAGTGCCAGGAGAACTACACATTGATCTGAAAAAGGAGAGTGAAAATGCTGAATAAAGCCAAGGAACTCAGGGCAAGAGAAACAAAATCTGAGTCACTGGAAGGACTGTCAGTTTAAAGAAAGTTGCAATCAACTTGCAAGGAAGTTGTTAGATGAACATTAAACCAAACTGCTATTATAGAACCTAAATTACAGTAGAAAAGCTGAAACATACCAGCTCCCAGAAAACCTTTCAGCTGATATATGGAAAAGGGACAAAAACAAGTCCGCATTATAGAGCAAAGTAATTGAAGCACAAGGAGAAGGCATCACAGTCAACTGCAACATTGGACAGCTCTAGGAAATCCAAAAGATAAAACCCAACACTTTATACTTGCCCAGCTCTCAATTCACTTGAAGCAGTTATGCCCTTGATTTCCTTGGGAATAGGAAAATTAAGTCTCCTATATGCTTTAAACTCAGTTTTACAAGGTTAAAAAAAAATCTGTTCCTATCTGCAAGGATTTTTTCATCTAGTCATATCTTCAGGGTTTTTTATGTCCCAATCATCCTCAAAGCTACAGAAAACACGGAGAGATGAGAATTCCTTTTGTTAGAATTATTCACAAGCATTACCACAGCAAGAGTTCTTGCTCCCAGAAACAGCATACTGTCTCTAACTATGGGAGTACATGTTTAATCACAGTACACACTCATTCTTTGTCACAACTACTAACTGCAGTTCTGGAGAGGATAGTTATGATAACCTCATTTGTTGAAAGAGGTTTAAAGTACTTCATTCCCTCCTAAATATTCTCTCTAAAAACTGGCAGGACATTGCTGTTCTAGTGTTTTTCAAAGGAAATAGATGCAGACCCAGATACCGCCCAAATCCCCAAACCTACCAACATCCTCATGGTAGCTCTTCACTCAGCATCCTCCTTTAAACCTTTCAAACACTGCTCAAGGGACTCAGCTCTTTCTTCTGATCAGGAGGTAGAGGTAAGCAGAAAGCAGGGTACCTGGAAGCAGCCTCCAATACTTCCAAGCGTGTTTTCATCTAGGGATTAACTGGATAGTGGGAACAATGGCAAACTACAGAGCATCATCAATATAAACTGGGGAAGTAAGAGACATTTTCTTAATTTCTCTACACTATGCTTGGATTAAGATAGTCCACATAGTTCTTAGTTCCAGGATGGCTCCATGTCTATTTGAAAAAAAGAGAGCACTGATCTCTCTGCAAAGCCAAGTAGTTTAAATGAAACACCATCAGGGATACAGTTAGACAACTTCCCCTTTTCTGAATATTTTCCTTGGAAGTTTTTGGTTGGAGCCTGTGCATTGCATAGGGTTGAGAGGGCTATTACTCTTGGAAGCTATAGTCTCAAATTCTTTCCTTTACTGGAAGATGTGAGGTTGATGATTTGCAAAGAAGAAATGTATTAAAGCCTCTTACCACTGGACCATGTTCAAACAGCAGGCAAGAAGCAAGTTTATACATGGTTTTCAGGCCAGTAATCAGAAATGAAAATGACCTCGACATTCAAATGTATGCATGTCTTCACTCCACCCCACACGCTTCCACAGTGTCTCTCTCATAATAAAATAAAGCTTGTTCAAAGATTACAGTAAAAACTGGAAAATTCAAAACAGCTGCTCTGGAAAGAAAAAAAACCAAAAACACACTAACAGAATAGAGCCACTGACATCACAGCTCTCCTGGAAGACCTCTCATCCTATGCACAGCAAGCATGCCCGCGCAGAGAGAAGAGACTGGGATTCCCATCTGTGGTGCATCACACAGTACAGGGAAACCTTCATCCCCACCCTTAACCCCAGGGGCATTGAAGAAAGCAGGAAAAAAGAAAGCTACTCTATTTGCTTGCATGTTGGCTCTACAAATGCACTCAGAGGTTCAACCCTATGATTGGCATCGAGCAACAGATTGCTGTAGTTCTTGGAGACTGCATCTAGTAGGTAATTAAGTTTTTTCACTGCCCTAGCTGCCTTCCTCAAGCTCTAACCTCAGGGCACTCCCACACTGGGAGCTTCACCCCCCACCAAGACTGCCTACAGGGTGAACTGTGCAACTTCTCCATTTCCAGGATCTCCTTAGGAGCCTTCAGATAACAGAAGCTGAATTAAAACAGTGAGATGCTAAATTAAACTAGTGAGCTATTGGTAAAGAGTTTCACATTAGTGGTTGTAAACCCCCTCTGGGCCTTTCTCAAATGAACAGAAAGACCTACAAAACTGTCAGTCCTGATTATGATAGAGAAGCTGGCTTCATCATATGGAAAGGGAAGAGAGCATTAAGCATGCTGTGATCTCTGCAAGGATCACAGGAAAACACAAATACACTACTACAGAAGGAAAAAAACCCCTGGTTTTCCTCTACATATGATACTAGTAAGTCTCCCATTTTCCTTGCAAGTGAGCACTCTCAAACTTTTTATAGCTGGCACTGAGCCTGAAGTACACTGTACAGTATTTTTATTGAGAGAAAAGACAGTGATTTTGACTCCTCTAGGAAATCCCATGCACATAGCACAAGCAATTCTTCAACACTAAGAAAAGAAAAAATACTCCATGAGCAGTGTGAAGTTCTTGAAATTTGAGGTTTTGAAATTAGTGTTTTCAAGCCTAACCATTCCAAAAGGCTCCAGGCAAGGATATAAAAACTATTCCCCATGAGGGTAAGGAACCAGCATACAAGACCAGATTGCTCCCAAACCTCTACAACCATGTAGTTCATAGTAAGCTACTCCCAGGCCCATTGCCCCAGCTTCCAATGAGGCATCCCTTGTTCCTCTCCTCTGCTGGAGGAAGAGGAAGACCTAGGCAGCAAGTCTTCAAGGTATCTTGAGAGATGCTCCTTCCCTCACTCCCCACACACTGTGTCAAAACACTACAATAAGAGCTGAAAGTCAAAAAGCTTTATCTGTTCACACACCTCGGTTACACAGGAAGGGGAAAAAAAACACACAAATACACATAGCAAAACATATCACCTAATTTATCCATCTTGTACCAGAAACTTAGTGATGTCCCTTGTAGTTCAAGTTAGAGTTACTGATTAACTCTAATTCACAATTTCAGCCTACCTTAAACAGTATAAAATTTAACTGAAGCCTCTTTACTAGATGCCCTGTAATATCAGCAGAAGGTCCATGTCTGCACTTGTCGTGTACGGGAATTGTAACTGTGAGAGCTTTGCTTGCTTCCAATGGAAAGATGTCCCAGGCAAGATAGGAAGAACTAAGCTTGCAACTTGCCTAAAACCCACAGACACACCTACTTTCAATGCCAGATTGTAAATTTTTATCAAGAACAAGTTCACACCAGCAGATTTTCTTCCTTTTGGTAGGAATCTAGAAATAGCTGACAAGCAATTCACAAGCAGTAAAACCAGGCAACTGATCGTCCTTGTCCTCACATAACTGCTGCATGGAAAGTGGTCCTACAGGCTCCCTTTCAGCCAAGGGCTGCCCTTTGAACACCCCAGTGCAAAGGGCAGGCAGGACAATCTTCTGAAATCCGGAGGTGGAGTCCTGGAAGGCAACCAGAAATGGCAAGATCCTTCTTAAAATTGTTTGCTGGCAGCAGAGTATCCAACTAAGGCAGAATCAGCATTTCTGTTGCCCTAATTTCCCATGAACAAATGATGAAAATAAAGCCTTGTCCACCTCCACAAAGATCAACTGTCACAAATGGCTCTATCATATCAGTATAAAAGATTATATCACTGTAAAAAACCTTACTATTAAAAAACCCCAACTTTCATTCACACTTGCTGTGGGAAAGAATCTCAAAGAAGCAGAAGCCTGGTCCTGATGGCACAGTTCACCCTGCAGAGAGCAATGTTACAAAACCACCTTCATTTGAAGAGTAGACCCTTTTAGGGCTAACAGAGAAAGAATAGTGCAATCCCAACAGAAAGCACTACAGAAAACATAACTATACAGTCCTTTTGCACTAAAAGTATGTGCTCATCTCATCTTCCAGCCCCTGTACCTTTGGCTGGAGCAAAGCTCTTGCTCGGTTAATTAATAACTGCAGCAGTTGTGTTAACTTGTAAAGTGTTATGGCCTCCACAATCATGAGGTTTCAGCTCCCAGACTGACAGTCATCACACTGTCCTCCAAAGTATTCCTTGATGAGAAGGGCTGTTGCACCATAAACACTGAAATTATTATACCAAACAATTTTCAAGCAAAATGCTTCAGTATAAAGAGACAGAATTAAGTCTCAGCCACACAAGCTTTCTTAGTTTGAGGTTTCTGTTTAATGGGGCTTGGATATTTCATGACAAGTTGTTTACAAGACAAGTTACTTTTCTAGTATTCTTTTACCGGTCCTCTCAAGCAGATATTATCACCAGTAGGTGAAGAGCAAGTCTGACTCACATCTTTAAATCACAAAAATAACCACAAACACCCATGTAAGAATCCCAATTTCCAACATGCCAGCCAATCCAGACAATGAAACATCTCTGGCATCTCTGGTTGTGTACTACAACAACACAGTCCTCAAAGGCAGACAGCCCATATGGTCTCCCATAGGTGCATGGAAGTGTGGAAAATCCTGAAAGTTATTCTTCACTTCAGTGAAGACTGTCTGTCTACCAAAACTCTGGAAGACATCCTGGTAATTTTAACAGAAAACACAAGAACATGGACTCAAAGGTCCCCAAGGGCCCCTACTTAAAACTCTCCAAAGTGTAAAGCTACTACAGACAAAGCCACAAATAGGGAAGAAAGCACTTTTGAGTAAAGGAGGATAAAAAAGGAAAGTTAATGGAGACAATTTTTAAGGAATCAAAGCCTCTTTGTTATTGGGAAGCAGGAATGGAAAGATAAGCTGAGCTGACCACTATGTTGAGCACATCTGGTACGTGCAACTCCAGTGGCAAGTCAAAAGAGCATTCAGTTCCTCTCCAAGCATGATGGATCTCACTGCCATCTCTTCTTCTGATATTGCAACTTTGTGTTTCAAGTTGGAGTGTCAGATAGGGACCTGA